TACATTTGAAATTACTATATCAATACCATAGAATTCCACTATAATTTACCAAGCTTAGTAAGCAAGCTGTATTTCAGTCTAAAATAATAGGAAATTTTGAGCAGACTAAAGACACAACCTACCTTCTTGAAGGTTTGTATCGAAAGAATGAGATGATGTCATAATACTTGAAAATGGCTACAAAAGCCACTAGGGGGACGTTCTGAGCTTTCAATTGGTTATTCACGTGTCATAAACAGAAGTAAGTGTATATAAGGGAGCGTTTCCAAAAATGAAAAGAGGTGAGCAGAATCACTATGTTTGATTCAGTACATGAGCGATTATATCAGCAAATAGAAAAGATAAGAGGTTCTTATTTTATATTCTAGCTTGTCAGTATTGTTAATTTGAATTCATAATTTGTACAAAAACTACAGACTATGTCTTTTGAAAAATATAAGTAAATATCAAAGTGAGATCTTTAAAGTGGTAATGTTTCCTATTCAAAAAAAAGTATTAATATTTGTAACTATGTTTTTCTACTACTGGCATTTGTTGGAGAAACTTCTCTTAGTGTCAGGGCTTATCTCGCTAAGTGCAACACTTGAAGTATTAAATCATAGATTTGAGTACTCACAAGATAATAATCTGCTGGTGTTTAACGTTGAAGTTTCTAAAGCAAGAATTAATTTAGCCTTACAAGAAGCATCATGTTAAATCACCAAGAGATTAGACTGTCAGTATTATAACTGTCACATTTCATTCATAATTTTCTTAACATAACTTTCCATTAATTCTAAAAACTTGTGAGTGAAAGTAAGGAAGAATGTATAAAAATCTATCAACTTCACTGTATCTGCTATATCCGGTGCTGCATTCTTTTGCTCTATATCAGAGCTCATGAGTAAGTGAATGTACAGACATCTTCCATGTAAGCTTGCCTTAGATTTTTTATTCAGTTTCCTTGCTCAGTCATCCTATTGGGATACAACAGTGATAAGAGAAAAATACCATTTTTTTTTTTTTCCTTTGTTTAGTTAAGCCTGATAAGAATGAAGTATTGAACATTAATAACTTGCATGTGATAGTCCATTACTCTTTGGCTAGTAATTAAGGTCTCAAATGTGTTTAGTTTTTTAAAAAGGGAATTTACAATCCTGACCAAGTTCAAGGTTATGCACTTAAACTCATGCTGGTCTTGTTGCTACTTGGATCATTTTAGTATGCATATGTTGTTTAATTATGCCTTATTGATGTGTATAAAATTTTTGTCATAACATAAAAGGCTATGTTAAACTTCATTTGCACAGAAATGTTTACAAGGATTACAGACAGTTAGAGCTTTCATGTGAGAGCCAAGAAGAGGTAGATAGTTGGAAAGCTTCTTTCCTCCGAGCTGGAGTCTATCCAGACCGGTCATCATTGAGAGAAATGAATGGAGAACCTGAATCTGAGGGAACTAGCCAATCCATGGATCCTCAACTGGAGAGACAGGTGGAAACAATACGGAATCTTGTTGAATCTTATATGAAGATTATCACCAAAAATGTCCGAGATCTTGTTCCTAAGAGTATCATGCATATGCTAATAAACAATGTAAGAACCTTGTATCTTTATATTTTGAATCTGATATAAAACAAGATAATGACTTGTCAAATTAATTTTTTAAACTTGTTTCTATTTATGTATACCAAATTAACATAACTTATAAAAAAAACCAGTTGACATCAGTTTTGTTTAAGCATCTTTTTATAAATTTTCTTGCTGATTGCTAGAAGCACATTGGCTGTTTAACTTCTGATTGTGACGACATGAAAAATAAGCTTAATTTCAAGGTTTCAGTATCCAAAAGCATCAGTTATTTTATGTTCTGATTAATACATTTTTAAGAAATAAGCTATGCCTGTGAAATTAAGCAGTATAATTTACTGTTTATAGCAAAGTTTGATAGTTTCAGGGAAACTACCTCAGGTAATGGTTTCTAATAAGTGATATAATAGTAGAAGTTTAAATATTACAATTAATTGTAAAAAATACCTTGTATTACTGCCTTTTGTATCACCACTATTTGGATAGAAAATATGATATTAATTGCTAATGTGGTATATACACAACTTTATCATAAAAGTTTGTTTAAATTCCTGAAATTTGTTAACAATACTTTAGATAAGACTAGCATGCTGTTTATCTGTTTTTCTGAATGATAAGTTAACTTAAGTAAAAGTAATTATAATTGTTGTTAAAATAAATATATGATATTGTTTTATTAATCCGTACTCTAATTCTGTTTTGTAGATGACTCGTATTAAACTAATAAAAGTTACACTTCACCTATTTATTTCTAGTTCACACCAGAACACTAATTGTTCGTACAATTTATTAATATAAATAGCATCTCAACCAACTACCGTGTCTGTCATGTTGCATCTGGCCTTATGATGTAATTTATTCATTATTGAGTTGTTATTCATGTTTTTAAGTAGTTTAATTTTATGGCCAATATTTCACTTAAATATATGTAGTCCCATTTCAAAATAAATTTTGAATGTTGATTTAGATTTAAATACATATGCATTATATAAAGTCATCATTCTTGTCATTTTTGTTTCTGATTAGATGTAGACTTACTGGTTTTTTTCCCCCTGTAGTTTTGAAGTGGTTGTGAGATAATTTTAAATTTTTTGAGTATAACTGTTTGTGATGGAATTTACTTGTATGTTTTAAACTCGTGCCATATCACTTTTTGTACCTTCATGAACATTTAGCTAAAAAATTATATATGTTGTTTCTGTGAAAATCTGTGTTTTACATTAGTAATCAGTGATTCTTTTTATATATTATAAAACTTGGTGGTAAAAGTTTTTGTTAGATTAAATATTTGATACCTTTGGTGATTCCCCACAGTTATTTGAAAATATATATTTTTATTCTTTTAGACCAAGGAGTTCATCAACACTGATTTGTTATCATACTTGTATTCTAGTGGAGATCAGGTATGTAGGCAATGAATAACACTAAACAAGTATATAGAATTATAATTAGTGTGTATAAGGAGTGGAATAAGAATGCAAAGATGATGAAAGTTAATGTAAGAATTGGGATATTTATGACTCACTATGTAGTTTTGTTCATTTATCAACAGAAAAAGTTGTCACAAGCAAATGGACACACACACACACACACAGGAAACTAAAATTCACTTTCTAATAAGGTTACATCAGGTTTAAAATGAAGAAAAATCCAAAAGAAAGCAAGTTGTTTCAAGAACCAAATCACGAAATAATGGGTGCTTAGTTTAATGTAAAAGAACAAAAGTTATAAACAATCACACACTTGTTGCTATCACGATGAAAAAGAGAAATTTGACTCTGTCATTTTACCTTCTAAAGAAGTAATAATGATATTTCTGTTGTAAATTAACATTGTTTTTAACTTTTCGATATAATCTGTCATATAGTTACTGTAAATAATAGGGTAAGTATCTATTTCACATTGAAATAAACATTAGTTGAAACGTGACTTTTGCACCTCTTCCCAGTATAAACACTCCCATATCTGGGAAAGTACAAAAATACGATACCCCATACCTCTAGCACTTTAGAAAGGTGAAACTTTTTTCTTCAGGGGCAATATAGGAATGACTGTATAAAGCAAAGTGTGAGATAAAGTGAAGTTTTTGGGATGTTATTCAGCCCACCATGGAAATTCTGAAGTGTTTTGAGTAGCGTTCAATGTGTTGTTATAAGATTTTTTTCATTTACGGTGTAATACTACCAGAAACAAGAATGTTAGGTATAAAGAAGTAAGTTAGGGATGTGTTGTTTTAAAAAATGAAAATGGTAAAGAGAAACTACATTGAATGTTGATAAAGTACAATACATTTGCACTATATGAACAAAGAAAACTATTTTCTGACAGAGAACAAACTAATGATCAGAAAACACTGTTTCCAGGATCTACGTTTATTCCAAAAGTTTGAACAGTTTTGAAATTGGTTTAAATGCTGATGAAGTTGCATCATTAATAGAATTAGCAAGTTGGTTAAAGTGTTGGGCTACAGGGAGGTCATTTTTGGTACTAATAGAAGATTTATGGTTGTTGAAACTCTCACAGTTAGGTCGGTCAATTTGACCTCACCGTTTTGTACTTGTTATAGTTTCCATGCTATAACTTGTTACTGTATGTGTATCTTCACAAAATTTGGCAGACTGTTAGTGAACATCACAAGCCTTTTGTACACAAAAAATCAGATTTTTGATGAAGTGTTTTTACTACAGATTTATCCATGAATGAATGTATGTGTGTGTGTGTGTATGTGTATATATGTATATATATTTTTTTTTTTTTTACTAGTCCGTATGCAAGGTGATTTTCATGTTAAGATAAAAAATACTTTTCTTCATCTCAAAAATTTCAAATTTCATTTATGTAATCTCTAAGTCGACTTAAATAAATTTCAACTTTTTTTATCAGTAAAACTATATTTTGTTATTTTCTCTACACTAACTCTATACAATGTTGGTCAATTTTACCGACCTCATAATCACCAAAGTAATTGAAGTAAGTCTAAGTTGCCCTTTTTTTTATTTCTAGAATGACTTTGTATTGTAACATGAAACTACATTTGTTTATGCTAAATAGTTTTAAAATCATAACAGAATACATCTATTTATACTTAAATTTTATTGCCCTGTGAACCCTGTCTAACTACTATTCGCACTATTATAAGTTATAAATCACTTGGCATACATGCAGCTAACGTTACGCTATCGATTTTACATTATGCATGAGCTGCTTGCGAGTGTACCTTGTGAAAAATTATTATAACTAACCTTAAAGGTTTGCTATTTTTACATTTTAGTTACTTTTATAATGATAAATAAAGAATACACAAGAAATCAAGTACTTACCTGGGTCTTCTTTTGTTTTTGCAATCAACTGTCGATGACACTTAACCCTACTTTTTTTATACTAATGATATTACTGCACTAAATAATTTTTATTGAATTAAATAATACTCCAAAGAACACAGAATAATAACATGCAAAAAGCAGAATATCTCCCATGACTATCACAATTTTTCTGGCTTTCTAATTTTGTAACAAGAGGCATTAGAAATTCAGCTAAGTTTGTCGATGTGTTTCCTGTGGGAATAAAGCTTGAATTTAGAAGTGAAACTGACAATTCTCTGTACAAAAAATAAAACATAATATCATACAGCATTTGCTAGAGTAAAACCTTGGCTTTCTATTAGTTATAAATAATATAGTATTGAATGTCAGAGAGAACTGTTGGCAATTTCTGAAAAAGATGTGGTAGGTGGGCATGGCAAGAGTGATCTGATTTTGTATTTGGATCTATAACAAAATAAGATTGAAGACTATAAAAATTGTGCTTTGTATGAGAATTGGTAACATTGTAATAAGTAATTTAGGTTAAATATCACAATTCTCATACTAGGAGAAATTCAGAATTTTTATTAATGTTGTTTTATACAATTAAGGGCTTAAAACTTATAAGCTATTAAGATATAGATAATTGGCTATGTTTTTATGGTATATTTATTGGTATACCATGATAAGAAAGTATTTTAATTAAATTTTGAATGTAACTCACTAAACTCTCATGACATGGAGAGAGAGAGTTAAAGTTGTTTGGGTCTGTCCTACATATTGGTGATTGCATTATTTACACTGTATGAGGTAAATGGTATTTTGTGTTGTGCAAGTAATTTAGTTAGAAATTTTTAAGTGTGTACAGTCATACTTGTCATAAAAATGAGTCGGTGTTTCTTATAAGCTTGCGGGTTAGACAATGAGCTTTATTAAATGGATGAAAACCTTTCTTTGATGGGGTGTAATTCATCCTTGCGTGGTCAAGGATATCTTTAAGACTTCTGCTCTTTCGGAAGGGAAACAATGGAAACTTCTGGAAATATTTGTCTAAGGCAATCATTCAGTTGTAGTAGATGAAAATATTTTTTCAGAATGCAGGAAATGTTAGGTAATAACAAGAGGAGATCTGTTTGAAACCAACAATTACACTGTTTAAGGATGTTTTTGGTTGAGTGTTGTTAGCTTTTTTCAAATTTTATTCCTAATCTTTTTAATACTTAGTATTTATTTATGATAATTTCTACGTTATTTTTAATCATATCTGTTTAACATTCCTCTTTAATTAATCTTCATACCTCACTTTTATTTTACTTTATCAACACTCAGCGTAATTTCTCTTGGACCATTTTTCTTTTTTAAAACAAGTTCAAGTAAAAGTACCCATCCTGAAATTTACTTAAGTTAGAGTAAAATAGTATATACTGAATAAATACTCGAGTAACAAAAGTAAAAAGTACACTCGTCTGCAGTTCTCTCAAATCCTACATGTATGTTGTGGGCCATGAGGTCTAGAAACAAAACACAGCATACTTTATAGGAACACATTATTATTCACAATGCATTTAAACTTGAGCAGTTTATGAAGATATGGCCAAGGATTGTCATTATCTTCAAGAGAAATTATATCAGAGTCAGACATCCTGCACACATGAACTACCAAGGGAAAAGAGTGATGCTTGCGACTTGGCCAGCTGCCAGGGGGATAGCAAACTCGCTGATGTAAACAATGCACAGGATTGGCTGATTTAAGTTCCTGCACACACTTTGCATTTTGATTGCTTGCCACAAATTTGCGTTTTGAGAATAGTAATGAAATGTATAAAATGAAAGGTAGTGGAGTAAAAGTACAAGTAATTCTCCTAAGAATTACTTAAGCTAGAGTAAAAGTATTTAAAAATATAAATACTTTTTAAAAAGTAGATATTGAAAAAGTTCTTCAAGTAAAGTTACTTCATTACATTTACACCCCTGCTGGTAGTATTGCACTGGAAATGAGAAACACTTAAAACAACACATTGATAGCTACTCAAAACACTTCTGAATTTTCATGATGGTGTGCATGATGTCACTCAAACTTTACTTGATCTCACACTTTGCCTTACAGGATCATTCCTAGTTTGCCCCTCAAGAAGGAGAAAGGTCCAACTTTTCGAAAGCTCTTAGGTTATAGGGTATTGTATTTTTGTGTTAAATTGATTTCTTAAACCTATGTGTTTTCATAAAGTCATGGGAAAGTAGATATAAAATGTACTGGATTGTAATAATGTAGTTTGTGCAAGATTATTTCTTAAGTTGAAGGGTTTGGGTAAATTGGCATTTGACAACTTCATTTACAAATCAGACAGAATTTTTAGATATTACCCAGCAAGTCACCTTCCTTATAAGTTTGAACACCAGAAAAACAAAAAAACAAACATGATTTTTCAATAAACTGGAAAGACATGGAGTGTAAACAGTTGACAAGTTTTAAAATTTATGGACAGGCCCTGAAAACAGGTTTAGTAATAACATTACATAGAAGTTTTCAGAGTGGAGATTTTCTACCTTGTTGTTTAGTTTGATGATTGAAGGATTTGTATCTTATGATTTTATAAAGATAAGGTTTAAAATTAGTCAAACAAAAAATGTAATAATTGTACTTTGTATTAATCAGACCAGAAAATGATACATAAATCTTAGGTCAAGTCACATCTGACCATAAGTTTCCAAGATATCCAAATTATAGTTAAGCAAACTGTAATTGGCTGAGTGTGAACAAGCTAGGATGTACTATGTATAGTGTATCTGTGATAAGTATGATAAAGTGATGCTTTGTGGAGGGATATGTGTAAGTTTTGTTTGTGTCTAGAGGAGAGTAGTTCATATATTATGTTCCATAATTTAAGATTGTTTTTTTTTGTAGTTCATAAGTAATGAACATTTTTCAAATCTAAATTAATTAGAATTCTTACTTCCTACTGTCTTTTAAGGACTCTAGATGCATATTGTGTCAACAGTAACAGTGGTTCTGCCCTTGACTGCTTAGTTCAACAGAAGGGAACAGTACTTCTCATACTCACCCAAATTCCATTTATACAACACTCATCTTCTCCAGATATGCTAAAACCAGTTCTCTATAAAATCCTGAATCCACCACTAACTGTAATATTTACAAAAATGTATGGATTTGTCTTAAATAGTAGTCCAACTAAATTGTGGATTGACCAGATTTCTGACTTTTTTTGTCCATACAGTGGGATTGTAGAGGAAGTTAAACTTAAAATAAACATAAAAAATGGTAACAGAAGACTGAAAAAAATATAATGTCTACACCAAACTAGTTAGGCAGACTTGCCAAGGCTAGCTAATTTCAGTGTACATCGGAGAAGAGTTTATTTCTTCAGCCTTGTTAGACGGAATTAAAGGAGAATATTATAATGTATGTTAGGTGTTGACATGTAACAATATGGGAGGATACAAGTTTAGTCTTATCAAAATGGACAGTACCTGCTGATTAAATTATTACACTAGTTAAGGTTTCTGTAAAAATGCTTGGATAAGAATGTTTCATCATAATGTGGGTGATTTGGTTTGCAATATTAAGATTTTAAATGTGGGCACTTTTTATAAGGCCGTAATGATAAGCAGAATCATTGACATTCTGCTTAGAAGTAAATCATCTTGTTGTTGATATGTAAAATTTCAGATTTTTTTTTTTATAACCCACCAAATAATTTTTAGTTTTTATTACCATAAAACTTTTTGGGAGTCTAAAAAATGAAAAATATGATCTTGGAAATTAAATGGTTATGATGAACATAATTTTATCATTTAATTTGGCAGCCCAGTGGTTATCATGCAATACTATGGAGCTGAGATTCACATCCCATTACCATCCAAAAAAAAACTGCATATTGAGGTCATGGGTGCATTATAAGAGTAATGGTAAAATCCCACTACTTGTTTTCACAAAATCTAGCAAAACAAACCGACAAGCAGTTAAGATACATAATAAGTGAGAAGTCAAGGACATGCTTAATTCTCTCATTTTATTTTAAATAGACTTCTCTCATGGAAGAATCTGCCGAGGAAAGCAGAAAGCGTGAAGATATGCTACGGATATATCATGCTTGCAAAGAAGCTCTAAATATTATAGGTGATGTTTCTATGGTAACAACTTATCAACCGGTTCCACCACCAGTCAAGGATGATTGGTTAAAGCCAAGTGTTTCAGAACTACCAAGGTAAATGATAGACTATATTAGTATAGTGGCAAAACAGCTTTTACTCCCTAACAGATGTCAAATGTAATTAGTTAAAATTAAATGTCTGAGAATTATTTTTATGATGATAATTTTTTCCTATCATCTAATTGGTTACATATTTAAAAACTGATGTCTAATGACACTGTAATTACTTAATTGTAAACTATTTTTACTAATACTTATGAGGTCTTATTTTTGTTTGCAATTATAAATGATTAAAATTCCAATTATAAAGTAGAATATTTGCCTCATTTTTCAGAATATTCGGAAGCTAGAGTTTACAGTTGATTGTAAAATATAACCAAAAAATAAAGTTTTGTGATTTTTGCCATATGGCCATTTCAGACATAGGATATTTGTTCTTTGTTCACCCATATGGACAACATTGGCTTTATAAACAAGTTTTTCTAAATTACTTAAGAACCATATTGCTTGCAAATCCATAACTATCTTGGTTGCATGGTCCTTAACGAGTCAACAAAACATTTTAACAAAAATACATCCCCCCCCACCTCGGTGGTTAGCAGTAAGTTTGAGGGCTTAAGATGCTAAAAATCTGGTTTTCTATACCATGGTGGGCAAAGCACAGATAGCCTGTTGTGTCGCCTTGTTCTCAGCAACAAAAGAAAACTAACAAAATACATCATCATGTACCCAATTTACTGTTATATTTAAATAGAAAATGAGTGATTTCACCAATTTTTTTTTTCTTTCAAGCAGTTCTTTGCACTGGTATGACTTGGTATGATTCAGTATGTGAACCAACATGAAACATATTGGTAATTTGAGAGTTAAAAAGCACCTGAAATCTATTGAAAACATTAAAACATACAAATTTTCTTCCTATGTAGACCAGCATCACCAGGGTTAAAACGTAACATGGTAACAAGGGCTGCACCTCCTCCACCTGCACTGTCTCGCTCTGCCCTAAACAGGCCAGATTCTAGCAGGCCTAGATCAGTAGCAGCAGGGAATTTGGGAAATTTTCAACAACCACTTATCCCATCGTAAGTTATCTAATTATAAAGTTTTTTTGTTATGCACTTACATGAAAACTATATATTACTAGTGGAAGTTAAGAAAGTTTATTGGATAGTTTCCACACCAATAATATACATGTAATATTATTAGATGTAACACGAACCAACAGATATGTTATCAAACCACAGAAGCAGGAGATTTATAAAGGTTTGTATGCAAAATACAAGTTTTTTATATCTAGATACTAGATACTCAGTACAGAGATTAATTTCAGGTTTTTATAAGTATAGTATAGAGAATACACTGAGTTTAATATGAAATATATGGATCATATTAGGGTACAAAACTGTATGTTTCTCAGCTGAGAACTGTAGCTTTGATTTATGTAATATGAACTATAGGATGGATGTTTATGTGTCACTATTTGTTGTACAATGAATTTATGACCATTTTATTCAATAAAACAAAGTTTGAGGCTGGCTGTTTCTAATTCGATCATACAACTCTTGTGGTTTCTTCACTTTGGTTTGTTTTGTAAATTGTTGCATAAAATGTAGCTCACATTAAAGTTGTACTGGACCTCGTCAGTGTAACTAGTTTAATGGTAACTGAATGGAGATTTTATATCTGTAGATGGAGAAATTTGCTGGATAGTTTTCATCCCTTACAGTCTATCATCCTGTTCTTTCTTTCAGTTTGAATCTAGTCCTTGTGGCTTCTTAACGTAATATAAAATACAACAACTCGCACTAAAAGTATCATTACTACAAGTTGTCTGAGTGTGTGTATTCATACCGTTATTTTTCCAAAAAAGTAAAGTACAATTTTTACTTCTCTCTCTCTCTCTCATCTCACACACCAATACATGTGGTAAGGGATGTAATCAAATGTAACTCATGTAAGTATAGGTGAGAATAATTGTACTCTCATTTTTGTGTTTGCAGTTAATTTTCATTCTTCTTAGCAGTTAAATATAAGGGCAAGTTAATGAGTTTAATATGATGATTTTAGAAGCAAACAACAGAAGGTGGATAGGCCATAAGTGCCAGAAATAACTAGTCAGCTTATTAAGGTGTAAAACTGAATGTATAAACAAAATATTACAACAGTATTGCTACACATAGTGTGTGTGTATATATATATATATATATATATAATAAAAATAGGTGCAATGGACTCTGCAAATTGTATTCAGCTCATTAGGGTTACAAGTAGTCTTATGTCTAGTGCTTCTGTATTCCTGCTTGTTACTACAGAACAGTTTCCCATAATATATCAACTTAAATTTTGCAAGGTACTTTCCCCGAGTGAAACTTGTGCATCTTATTTTCAGTTAATACAAAAAGACCTTTATTTTTACATGTTCTGTAACCCTAAGTAGTAAATAAAACCAGTACGTTATTCATTGACCAGTTAAGTTTTTTTATTGTTCTTGTGAATTGTTTTAGAAACATTTAATATTGTCTGGAATGAATTAAATATAGTTGGTATGTCAGACTCTGAAAACATAGCAAAACATGAAAATGCTAATAAGATTTTTTTGTTTTTCTGAAATGAGCCCTCTAGTATGTTCAGTTGGTAGAGTATTTTCTTCTTCACTGAAATATTGATTTAAAAAAACAAACATTAAAGCTGCCCTCTGAAAGAAGACATTTCATCCATTAATGCATCTTCTGAAGGTAAAACTAAAAATGCAAAGTTTTTGTCGAAAAGCAATCCAAGTGGGTGATATTATAAAGCTGGATTATAACTACTGTAAGCTGCATCGTTGTTAATGCTTCAGTTTTACAGAAGCAAGAGTCAGATATTTCATTAAATGTCAGACAACTTCTTCATTTATTACTGGTGGAGAAATTAGGATAAGGAAAATCATTACATCTAGCATTGAGCATAAAGACATCCTTCACATAGAACTGCAAGAAACATTAGAAAAAGATTCCAAACTGACAATCAAATTTCACAATACTAGTATCTTAAGTTATAACATTAAAATCACACATTCAACTAGGATTGAAATATACTTGACATTGAGGATCTCACAGGAGTCCAACATCTTGAAAAAAGATGAACTGAATACTCAACCTTTGACTTTGGTGTAACAATTGCTTGCCAAAAGACCTTAAGAATCTAAACAGATGGAGACACGTTGTTTGGTGCAGAATTGTGGGGGTAAAGCAGCATATACCAGAAATCAGTGATGAGATATGACCTGGTATCAATACTTCTATATCCTGCTGCCAACCTTGCTTACAAGAAGCATCCTTTTTTCATATCCTGTTTGAAATATTGTTTGCTTGCATCTTACTCAACACTTCAGATCCCATTTGAAGATACCTTAAAGCATTCCATTACAACTGCCTTCTGGCATGTTAAGTTATTAGTTTAAACAAGACACATACCCCCCTCTTTGTTAAAGTTGGGGGGAATTTTACAGTCCATTCCTCTGAACCTTAAATTTTTTTTTTTCTGGCAAAATGAAAAATCTTCCTGACGAGGCACTTAGAGCATGTCTCCAAACCAAGATAAACAACAGTTACTAATAAGTTTTTCTCATTGAGACAAGGCTTCATGCAGATGCTTGGCAGGTAGTGTGGTATAAACAATGTACGAACAAGCTTTTCCAGATTAAACCTGTTATCAATCATTGGCCATCAAGTTTGTGTAGCGATCAGGGTAAGTTTTCCTCACAAAACTCACTATTGGACAAAGTTTCACTAATACAGTTTTCTCTTGCAAGAGAATGACCCACCAATGGCACTCAATTTGCAATTTCCCACCCATTTTTTTCTTGCCATTGTTATAAGACAATTAGTGCAGCACTATTTTAGTTAGGTTTTGTAGTTTCTATTTAACATTGGGCAGTGTCACTGGCTATGATGAACCTGTCTAGATCAACTGTTTGTTTTTCATAGGACATAGGCCTTTGTAACTATATTCTTCAAAATATAAATTGCACATATTTTAGTTTACTTGATACTCTTGTATTTTAATTTATTTAATTAGTTGTTGAAACAAAAGTAAATACATTTGGTGCAGATAGCACACACAGCTTTGTACTAATAAATCCCAAATCAGCAACAACAAATCTTTTGGTTTTCCCTTTAAATGGCTTGTTATATAGCAATTTTAAATTTAATTTGTTTATCTGAAATTAGTTTAAAATGCTTGCACATGGTTTTAGATTATTTTGAGATATTTTCAAAATCACAATACACAAAACTTTCTTATAGTACACTTTTAATTATTTTATGCTGTAAAAAATTTCAAATTAATTTACAGTGTTAATTACATTTTTCATTCTTTGATACTACTAATTAGAATCATTAGTGAATAATATGACCGTGGTTACTTAAATGTTTGTTAGTGATTTAATTAATTTCTTTTTATAGGCGTCCAGTACCATCTGTTCCACCTCGATTACCTGATCGACCTCAGGTTCCAACTAGACCTAATTAAATGATACAGAACTTCTCAAAGTCATTTATATCTTGTCAGCATTCCTTGATGTATGTCAGAAACTAATATAACTTGTGATCCATGAATATTTTGGTATCAGGAAATTAATCAGGATTCTTCTAAGATTACAATAAAGTTTCTCTCACTTCTAACGAAACCAGTGCAATTACAGGAAGATGTTTTTCTCTGATGTGTGATTAGATAAAGTGTATAAAACAACATTTGAACACTGGAAATGTTAAAGTTTATGCTGCTTGTCACTGTGCTGTTTATTGTACATCTTGTTCAATTATGTGGATATATGCCTCCCTAGCTTTTATTTTCATATTTCTGTGTCATTATTGTGCTTTGATATTTTTTTGTTCATAGAAATTTTATTGGAAATAATTATTTATAATATGACTTCTTTCAGAAAAGGGGTAAAATGATTTATATACACATATATCTATATATTTAAATGAAAATCTGTATATGAAGGGGCCATGTTTTTACAGGGAATTAGAAAGTGCGCTGTCACAAAAGTATTTTGTTTCTAAGCTTTTTCTTTTTTGTAAGGTAATGATAAACTACAGAAAACTTTGGCATGAAATGATTAACTTGAGCAACATCCTGTATAAGGTCACTTAAGATATTTAGTACAGCCATTGGATGCAGTGATAGTAAACTAAATAAAAAAAACTGTGCTTTATTGTAAAAACGAGGTAACTAGATGCTTTGTTTTTCTACAAAAGCTATTCATATTGCTATAAAATGTGTTTCGAACTGTATTGTTACTACAAGGTGAAAAAGATGTGAATGCCTGTAATTATTTTGCTGTAGAAATTGCTTGATTTGTGTGTTGCCTTTTGTAAGTCAAGGAACTAAACAATAAAAAAAAAAGTTTGTTTTGTCAAGAGGAAACTTCATTGTACAGTAACCATGTCCCAGTTATCACCCAAAATTATTCAGTGTAACTTAA